GGGGTTTCCCCTGAACAATTGATACAATAGCAAAGCAAAGAAAGGAGGATTTTTAAAATCCTCTCATCACAGTTGAGAGACTCATCATAAAACTATCAGACAGCATTCAGCAGAGTGGAAATCCCTGCTCCAATAAGCCCTGGCTCTGGAAGGCAAGGATGCAAAGTTGAGGATGGAGCTTCTCTGGCTGGATGCCCTGAACACTTGGCTCTCACTGCTGTAACTCACCTGTTACAGGTGCTGCACATCCTTGCTAGTAAAAAGCATCAAACCAAATTGAGCTGCAAGCGATTCACACCTCCCATAGGCTTTCCCTTTAGCTGGAAAAAGACTGCAATTCAGTGAAACACTAATTCCAGAAATCCCTGGTGCATGATCCTGAACATGGGTGTGCTGTTGTGCATACAAGAAACTGCAAATGCTGTATAAGAGCACATTTGTTAACACAGTTTATTGGCACACTTATTGGCAAAGCATACATAAAATACAATTGTATTATATAACACACTGACTCACTGTGTCTTTACATGATGAGTTGAACATATTAATATGTAAATGAAAAAAAATTAGTTTATTTTATAAAGTTTCACATAAATACACCGGAATAAAAAACCAAACCAAAACAAAAAAGTAAAACAAAAATGAGGGCTTTACAAAAATATTATACAAGAAATATACTATGAAAAGAAATAACAACAAAGCCAACTCAGATACAATAATAAAAACACAAAAGTTTTAGATTTATTAAGCTGCCCACAAAGTTAATGGATTACATGGCTTTAAAATATCTGGATCGACAGCAATTTTACAAAGCATAAACTCTCATAGGACTGGGTGTCTTTTTCCACATAAAAATATTTCTCATGTCTTTGATGAAAAAAAGACATTTCTTGTTTCAGTATTTTTTATTAAATGATGGGTAGAGTATCTACTGGCATCAGCTAAATGTAAATTAAAAATGCTGGATCCTTTAAATGATTAACTGTTGAAAGAAAAGTTAAAGAATGAATAAAAGTTACTTTCATTTACTTTTGCTTAAAAGCTGATCTTTTTCTGAAACAAGAAATTTCAGGTGCAAGTTGAAAAGCAGAAAATATATTACAATTGTAAAAAGTTTTACATAGTTATGTTAATGAGATCCTGAGCACTGATGACTTGTTAAAATATGGCCATTGTTTGATGAGGAAAAAAACAACCCCTTCCAATAAAATGCACTGTCAGAAATTTGCCATGAGATGCTGTTTAATTTTCAGTTATTTTAATTGAGGTCAGTGCCAGTATCTAGTTGAATGACAATACTTCCAAGGAATGTATATGGAAGCTTATACAAGAGTTTTCCCTAATGAAAAAAGTTGGATAACTTTAGTTTAGAAATAGATACTGTATCATTTGAAAGGTGTTTCTTTAAATTTTATTTTGAAGAATGCTGTGAAACGGTAATTAATGACCCACTGAGGTACATTGCAGTGGGAACTGCTGCAGAATAACCTATTGGGAAGCTTGTGGTGTGGGGTTTTCAGATTTAGTCTCCTGGTTAGCAGCAGGTTTGCTGTTCCATGGGCTGTTATTTCCCAGTGCAGGTGAATTGTTGAAATCTTCTTCATCATCCATGCCATTTGCTGCATCATACTGTGTATTCTCTAATCTAGTGATAAGCCTTTCGTCTTCATCCCCAAACTCGCCTCCCATCAGAGTTGGTTCTCCTACCACCATCACATCCTGTGAACAGCACCCAATATTTGTTATATGGAAACCTTGAGAGAGAAAAAATCAACTTAAAAAAATTATGTTAGAGAATTCACATCTCTTTTATTTTGTGACATTTGAACAACAGAGTTAGAAGTTCCCATATAGTAGGAACAAGGAGAGAGGCTTACATTTTATTTCTAATTTAATTTAAAACTGTAACACATCACTATAGTCACATGCTCATGGCTCTGGATCTCAGAAACCCCAAAACTGAAAAGCAGATAGGCTGAACAATATGCCTGATTTTAAGCAAATAAACAGGCTATGAAACTTCCTTTAAACTTCTCCTTAAAATATTTAGCCTTTATCCAGTAAATCTTTCCTGAGCCATTTTCTTTGGAGAGGCACCAGGGTGTATCTCAGTTGGAACTTGGTGATATGCGTATTTTAAAAGTAGTTTAAAAGAAACCACATTTCTTATCCTCAGACTTCTCAAACGTGGAGCACAGCACTCTAATAAAGATGGTAACTCTCTTATCCATAGCCAGCCAAGCCCTTTTACGCATCCAATATACTTGACATTCTGCTACTTAATTATGGTAATTAATTTAGGTAAAGTTTTCGATAAAAACAATGTTCACACTGATTTGACAATTTGCATAGCTAATTAAGTCATTAGCAAAAACCTGCTGATTGCCAACAAGCCCTGAATTTACCATCTGTTATTTCATGGTGCCTGTCACCTAACTCCATGTAGGCAACCCTGCCGCCAATCTGTGCAGTAAGAGGACCAATCTGTCCAGCTGGTACCGTAAAAGCAAGATGAAGAGTGCTAATTATAATTACACTGATGAAGCTAGTACTCATCAGAAACTAAAGCATGCAAGAAAGAAAGAATTCATCTAATCACTGCTTTAAGTACAAATTGTCCTTCCATGAAAACAAGTAAACCGCCTACTGTACTCCAGTGCATCACAGATTTGCTGCAAAAAAACCTAAGCAGCATGGGATAGAAAGGTGCAAACTTGAGACTGGAAAGCAAAGGTGCAAAGCCAGAGAGCTCTCTTGTTCTCTCTGTTCAAGGGAGGATCAGGCTGCTGTGCTAACAGCTAAAGAAATATGTGGGATGCATCTTTTCATGCAGCTCAGGTGTCAGGGCATCAGGTAGTGCTTGCTAGAAGTGCAGTGATTCCAGATGTGTAGCTTTGTTCCTGCTGATCTAACAAGCCCTTCCAAGAATCCTGGTGAACAATGGATTCATTTTTTTAAAGGCTCTGTTCCTCCTTATGAATGTTAATAGCAAACAGAAGACAAATGTTTGCATTTAATAAGGTTTCTTTTTAATCAGATATCTACTTCCTTCACGACAAAACAATACAAATTATTGCCTGCAAGTGTTTACACTATTTGTTGATATCCCTCAGCAAAGGCTGGCATGTTACAAAAGAATGTTTGTCTCACATTTTCAGCCTGTTCTATGTAAAAAATTTGAGAGTATATGAAATTGTTATATTATTTATTCTTCACTTTGTCTGTTTTGCTACTCCATATATCCATAAAATATTAGTTAAAAAAACTCACACACAGCTTTGTGACATAGATGTTTAAAAGACAAAGGTGTTCATAAGCAAAAGTTTATTCTAATTTATCCCACCCCTCTAAACAACAGGCAATGTGTAGTGTGCACTGCTGGACCAGACCTTATCCCATTGTATTGGGAGAGCATGAATGACCCAAGAGACCTGGCAGAGGACAGCGAGTTGGGTGTGAGTGTGCTGAGTTACATGGCAGGCAAAAAGGACCGTGGTGGCTGAAACACAGAATCACAGACTGAGGTGGCAACAGCTGCTTTTACTTAGACATTCTCAAGGACAGACCTCAAGCTCTCTCTGTTGCCATACAGCAAGAGGTCAAGACTCGGATGAGACTTAGACAAGCATGTCAAAAATCACTGTGGGGCTGCAGCAGCTGCCTGGGGGGGCCACGTGAAAGAATTAAATATGTATTACATCTATCAAATGATTGGGAGGGGAAATGTGCTTAACAGCTGCGAGTGCTGAAAGGAAGACAATCACTTTAGGCCAATCTGAGGAGATGTAGACTAGGGTACTAAGATGGCATTAAGTAAACAAAAATGTAATCCCCACTCCTAAGACAATATTCCTGTTCCTGATAATGGCAGGCTGAGGATTAACGATCCCATGGGAACAGTGCTAATTTTACTGCTCAGGTCACCTAACACTAGGCTGGGAAAAAATCTCAATCTGTGGTAGGAAACATTCATGGGGAGATGTTCAATGACCTTGTAAGTATTTCCACCTCTGATTTCTCAGGTTCATTTCAAATATTATTCCTTTCATATAATGACTCCCACTGAGAGAAGAGTTTGCACTTGTATTTCCCTCTATGCTATTCAGTCTATCTCTCTCTCTCTCTGGGAAATGAACTACAATTATATTGAGGTTAGTGGAGTTTTCCCTTACTCTATTTAAAAGATAGATATCAAAGCAATCGTTACAGGACATCTGAAAAATAATTCTTGACAATCTTGCCATTTACAGTTATATCAGGCAAAAATAGTGTCTCAGGAAGCGCACATGCTCTTTCCTCCCCAGAGGATTCTGCTCCTCAGACTGAAAGCTGAAGACCCCACCAAGTGCACCCCATTGAACCTCCACTCACTAGATCCCGTGCAATGACCACCAACCTCTGAGGAGGACTGGAAGTGACTCCTTTTAGAGCCCCTCAATGCTTCTCCTTAAATTGGCCAGTGGGGGTCACTGCTGTTGAATGACACAAGGCTCCATCCCTCCCAGGGTTGAGGCTGCAGCTCTGGAGTGCTCCTAGCTCCTGCTCATGGAGTGAGAAGCAGAATCCAAGAATTAAACCCTAGTCTCTTGCATGGCAGCACACACTGCTATGGCCTAGTTATGGTAGCACATATTTGACTAAATTAGTTTAAAAAAGATTTAGACTGTAGTCACTCAATCTTATTAATTTACTCTGTGATTAGAAACAACATTTTTGGTCAAGGAATGTCTCAGGATAGTAAAATATGGCTGTAGTGAAGCACTGTAAATAAAGCAGTGGTTGTTTTACATTATGTGATAGAAATGTAGTATTTTATAATATAACCACAAAAGCAGCTTTCATGTATATCATACCTTTCATCCTGTAATAACCCTAGTTGCCAAACTTAAATTGATGCATATAAACTATATAAACATAGATCACTTCACACAACACTCAAATGCAAGCACTTCTATTTAACAGACTGGTCATTTCTAGGTTTCTTTTTTTTTTTTTTTTTTAATACCAAGCCTCAAAATTTAGCTCTGCCCCGCCTAAGCAACTAAGTTTTTTAACTTGGGATGGCATCCTAAGTCTAAACAATGTCTTAGTGAAGTTTGGATGCAAAGATATCTGTTGGGCCATGCAAAATTCCCCATCCCTGAGCCTGCCATCTTTGCTGCTGTTAATTCGTAGCCTTGCTCAGTGTGTTACAGTGATCAGTTTGTAGCTCTGTTGTCACAGCCCCAAGAAGTAGACAAACAGTGCTTCACAAGCCTAAGGTAATTAAAAATGCCTGGCACTCTCAAGTATATCATTCAAGCACATCTCATCCTCCAAGGACCGAAAGTTGCACTAATTTCAGCAGCTAGCATACCTCTAAGTGCTAAGTTGAAAGAAGAAGGGCTCCTCCTCCTGCTTTGTGTTAGTGGTAATTATTTTAATAATTGACTTATTAGCTCCTTGGCACAAAAATTATTAATGACTGAGAGCCCCACTGCTGTCCACACCCATAATGGTCACTGCTTCCATGCGAAAAACATCAGACTGACATTGGTATTGAAATGATCTTTAGAAACAGAACTGACTTTTTAATTAGGTTTCAGAATAAACACTTTCTAGAGAAAAAGCTTTCACATCTCATCATAATTCTCACTGTTAACTTGACATTCTGTTCTTGTTTGGAATGTTTTTCCTAAAGCACAAAAACTGAAAACAAAGTTATTCTCTCTCATCTCTTTACTACTAAATCTTAGACTCTGATTTGCATGGTTTTGAGACATGGGATAATTTTTGACACTAATCTCTGGCCCTGGAACTGTAGCTCTGGTTCTACAACATCCACTACAAAACACCTAAACCTACCCTGTTTCTGAAACACATATGAGACTGTATTGCTTCCTTCCACAATAGCAGGTTTATTTATGGATTTGGTTTCTGAGTTTACAGAGAGCTACAAAGAGAAAGAGAGATTATTGTGGAATGTAACTTGCTTAAAGAGTACAAGGAGGTTCTACTTTAGACTCTGGATATACCAAAGAATGTTCCATTTACTCAGTGGCCTGTAGTGATGCTTTATTCTTTCCAACACATGATATTTCACTGGGTTTATGGTTACAGCATTATACTCTATGGGATCTTCATTATTAAATGAAAGCAAAATCCACCTATTAATTTCTGTGGTGATGACTGGGAGCAGCATAGAGCAATGGTTCTTAGAGTTTGTGAGAGTTGTGGATGGCTATCAAGTTTCAAATATATGAAAATGGATCAATGTGCCCTGTTTTAATTAAACTTAAGAGAGAGTCATATTTTAGTGAAAATAGCTGTATGGACCCCTTCTGATAACCTTGATTATTCCTGTAATCCACAGATCATAGTATACAAATCATTGCTCTACAGTACAAGAGTTTGGGCTTTCAGGAAACTTTTATTTGAAACAGAAGAATATGAAAAATGCTAAGGAATATGATTTTAGTCAGTAAGAAGTCTTGAAAACTGAGCAAAGACGGGAAAATATTGCAGCTAGCTTCAAATACTAGAGGAAATTACTAGTACTGTGTGAGCAGTAAGACTATGACACACCCAAATTAGGTAACTAATTTCTTTAAAATGATAGGAAGGCTAACACGAGAAAGGCAGGTTTTGTATGAACCTTGCAGAAGAACTCTTGCCCATCTTTGCTCTTTGTCTAGAGGAAATTGGTAACTCCAGTTTCTGCCCAATGAGCCTTCCAAAGATCAGATGTGATTGAAAATATGAACAGATCCAAGTTTAAATTACTGAAATCTGCTGAGAATAAGGCAGCTGAGCAGACTACAGTTTCTGGGTCCCTGTCCTGTCTGTTTTCTTTATGCTCTAAAACCAGTCAATGCATCTATGGGGAGCACTGGCAGTACTGAGCCTGCACCCATGATGGCCTGAGAAAAGAAAACTTCTTTTTGTGCTAAAAACTTCTAGTTGTGCTGACTTTAGAATCACTTAGCTCTACTTACACCACTCTACAGTGTGTTATCTTGGCACCTACAGGATTTGGGTCAAAAGCATCACTGGACAAGCAATGGGCCAGCCTAAGAAGAGTTGTGTAGTGTAATCATGTGGCATGCTAGCTAACTGCATTTGTATTAAGGATGTAGGAAATATGTAGGAAATATGTAGTACATAGAAAAGGTATTAAACAAAGGACTTGGGCCAGAAGAGTCATGTTGACAAGAGATCCTGAAGTTCTGCAGTCAGTAGCCTGAGAATCAACAGAGAAACCACTGCTCATCCCACCATCATAAGAGAAAATGGGTACAATAGAGTGCAAGTGACTGTCAAAAGGACAAAACTTTGTATTTTATTTACCACAGTTGAGAAAGTATAAGCAATAGTTAGAGATAAGAGCATAGACTGAGACTGAACATTTTCAAAATCCTGATGAGAGGGAATATAACCACCCACTAGCAGAGACCCTTCAGATACTTTTATGGATTGTCATTAGAGATGTATCAGAATGTGCCAGCACTGTGGAAGTGCTATTAAAATTAAGGCAACACAAGGAGCACAAATTATACTGATTGATTAGGCTTCAACAACTGAGCTTCAGGATGCATTGCCAATCTGACCCATGCATGGAAACATGATCACATAATTTTGGTTTCTGAGCTTGGCTCTGCACTGTCCCTGCCTGGACGACTGATCAGAAAATAATACAGGTAGAGGAAATGGAACAACCTTCTCCTTCTACTGGTAGAAGAATGTCTGTCTGACAAGTAACATTCCCTCATCAATCAAGGTTTGCCCAATGTATTTATCTGAAGAGCTGGAAGGGGCTGTGGGGAAAATGACAAAACTCTGAAGCTTCAAGATTTGCCATAGCTGATAGTGCTTCTATTATCTGGACTGTCCTGAATATGGGACAATTTCCTCTCCAGGCACAAAGACCTCATTAAAGAAACAGAAGTTAATGGGTGTGAGGGAGAAGTGTGGATGAGGTGTATGGTAAGTTCACATATTTGCCAGACTCCATGCAGCACTAATGTAGGAGAAAAATGGAGTAATTACTAATGTCCTATGCCAAGAAGCATCACATAGAATACAGGCTAAGAAAACACTGTTTAATCAGGATTAATTTAATATCAAAGTTAAAACAACACAGAAGAATAAAAGAGAAAAGAAATTAGATGTGATTATCATGAAGAAACTGACTTTGCTGGCAGGGAAGAAATCATTGGAGAAAAAGAAAGCTGGAACACAGGACTTCATATTAATCCAGGGTTGATACAGATATGAGCTCATTGTGGGGTTCTCCAGTGGGGAGATTGAGAAAATTGGAACTGAAACTAGCTCTGGCTATTTGAGTCATCTGGATAGAAGATGCAGTGATTTCATTCCTCTTCTCTAATAAAGAGAAGTGAAACGCTTTTAACACTGAAAGTAAATGATTTCAGTAGGGTGGGTTTTTTTTTACTGAGCAGGAAAATCCCATTCACAGAAAGCTGCACAGCCAAATGAATATTTTAGTGAATTGAAAACTGCCAAATTGTGTTCAAGGATCTCTTGTCTTGTATTGCATGTAAAGGAAACCAAACATTAACTACTAAAGGATACATTTAAGTTACAGATATGAGAAAGGAACAGAAAGCAAGTTACTGCTACCTGCAGCTATCTTCAGAAAGCAATGGCAACAAGGTCCACTTCAAAGAATGCATAATTTTGAAGAGGCGTGGGATAACATCTCTTTATTAAAGTGAAAAGCGTGGAATAGTTTTACACTGAAATATCCTCCTGCTAAAATTATTTTGAGTTGTCTACTCTACAGGGTGGCCAAACCATCAATTCCATCTGGTTTGCTATCTTTGCTGTGGGGAAGATGGGAAGAGCTGTTAGTATGTCAAACTGAACAGCAATGCATTTTCCCCTTTGCAGATGGAAAGGAAAAGTGTCCTAAAAATGGAACCTGATCCTCCATACAGAAGGGTTGGAACCATTTTGCTACTCTGGTACAGAAAGCAAAGAATATTGAAAAATATTGAGTATGCAACATCCTAAAAGTAAATGAAGGCTAAAAATCCATCCCTCATACCATAATAAACTTCACCAATATGTCTCAGATGCTCAACTATCATCTCCATCAGAAGAGCAGCCTTGACTGCTTCATCTGTCACGAGTAGCCTTCAGCACCTGAAGTCACTTTCAACCTCAGTGGGAGTGACAGGTAACTATCAGAGGGCTCAGTCACATTCAAACATTCAAATACACATGGCTACCACTGAATGCAACAAAAGTTCTCTCTCCAGGGAGGAGCAGGCTGAAGAAAGTCAGGGGTTCAGATTCTGGTCCTGCTGAAGTCTGAGCAGGGTGCAGCTGATGGAAAATGTCTACTGTCTTTTAAAGCTGGAGACAGCAGGGAACTAGCTGGTTGCTTGGTTTTGCACTTCATTGCAGTTTTTTCTTAAATATGGTTGAATATTGATCCAAAGGTTTTTCTGGCAGATACCATCAGTGGGGCAGAGTGGTGCCTGCCACCAGGAGATCAGGTAGTCAGCCTTCTGACTGCTTTGTGCTGCCAGAAAAACACAGAGATGCCTATATTAGGGAAAGAATCTGACTCTGGGGATGCAAGCCAATTTTAATATGACAAGAAGGAAATATGAGTTTAATGTACTGAAGCCCAAAGCTGTAAACTAGTGGATTGCTAAATCAGTTGCTAAACAAAAATCTTCATTTCATTTCACCATTGTTAGTCTACTTCTCTTTTTAAAACCTGGATATTCAAACTTCCTAGTAAGTGTGTGCTTTGTACTAGCAAAACGCCTATATTCTTTGTCAGGTTTCAGAGGAGACCTACCCCTTCCTATTTGCCAATCAGAAATCAAATAAAAATACCTGCATGTTATTCCCAGGATAAGACTTTATGGTTCCTCTAATATCAAATTAATTTCCCAAGCTTTAAAATGCATAAGCTATCTCCTTATTGACTAATGCACACTTTGTCACAAATCGGGGTCTGAATACCCCTATATTGTGACTAAGGCAGTAAATGTGACATTATGGAAGTGCTGATACAGTTGTTTCTCTGGAAATGACTTGGTGTCTCCCTATACAGTTAGGATGTCAAGAATTACAGCTAGTAGGGTGGATAAGCTGAGAACCATATTCCAGGGGATCTACCCTCTGCACATGGAGTGATTGGACAAAGAAATAAGCTCTGCAGGTAAATCATAACCTGTTCCTGTTCAGCATCTGCACCTGGCACCAATTAGAGATAAGGCACTAACACAGAGAGACCAGCAGCTTCCTCAGGAACAGCTCTCCTGTACCACTGGGACACATCCTTGCTTGGCACCTGGCAGATGAAGTCTGCAAGGCTCATGCTGTGTCTAAAAACACAAGGCCTAATTGAGTCCTACCATTAGTGAAGGGACTCCCTCTGGCAAAAAGAGGAACCGGCCCAGGCCTTTAAAAAATCACATCTGATCCTCAGGACATTTCTATTTGAGGGTCCTGCATTAAAGCTGCACTGCAGAGCAGCTCCTTCACACCTCTCCACTCATTCCCCAGCTTCCACAGCACACTGTGCAAGATTGCCTTTTGCTTGTGATAGCTTTGGCTCAAGAATGCACCTTCTTTACAATGTATGGGAAGAATTAAAGACCATAAGTGATTCAGGCCTAAAAGGAAAGTGAGACTTACAGGTACCTGACTTGATAGACTCAGGTTTGCAGCAGCTGACTTTTTCTTGCTGTTGGTACTGTTTGCGTTGTTCCCAGCACTACTGTTGGAAGTGCTGCTGGTAGAGTTTTTCCTTTTTCTCCGTTTGGTTGTTGGTTGTCTTGTGGGTTCTGCTGCAATACAATGATAAGAAGGAAAGCAAAAGGCAGATACTGTGAAGCAAGAACTAAAATGATCCGTAAGAAGAAGAGCTGAAATACTTTTTCAATTAGCTTTAAATTGCTGAGTTTAATAGTAGTTAGATTTAACATACAAACTGTAGAATGATATTTGGACCCAAACTAATGGAATCTGCTTTCAATATTTTCCTGATGGATTGACAAAGCTTATTGTCCCGGCATTGTCTATAAAGGTATTCAAAAGCATTTTTCTGATGGGAATATCATGATCATTATGGTCAAAGTGACTGTGGAACTTTCTGAAAGTCACACAGCAAGAAAAGGTGCTGAACAAAAATGCAGGTTTTACTGTGATGTAGGGTACAGCCTCCAGTGACCCAGCCAGGGACAAAGGCTAAAGGAGCTTCCTGCCCTACTGCTGCCATTGATGCAGCAAGCAACAAGCAACCACCCTTTGAGCTCCTACATCCTGTGTGGGCTTCACCTTTACACTGCTGCTCCCAAGAGAAGCCATGAAGGGTGCCAAATGCCATTGCCCTGCAAGCCTAAAAAACTCAGACTGAATCAGGACAATGACACAGCTTTGCTCTAACTGGCAAAACACACAGGGGTAATTGTTCTTCTCAGAATTTGGCCTGGGCACCCATGTGAACACTCTAAGATACAAAAATCTTTATAATCTGAAAAAAGAGAGAATTATTATTTTGAAGTGTAACAGGAACGAGATTAGGTCCAGGCCTGTAAATAACTTAATATTAGTCTCAAAGACAATTAATTATGAATTGTAGCTGTAATTTCAGAGTCACAGCAGGAAGCAGGATTACACAATGAATTCTAATGGACCCAGTAGGCATTTTGCATTCAATCTACACATATTTTTGTACTACATTATATCCTAGTCATAGTGAAGCCATCTCAGTGTGCACATCTATAAATCAGTTGTGTCAGACTGAAATAATAAAATATCAGAATAATTTTCAGGCTTGCTTTGGGAGCATTGTTAACTTTTATTATTTTCCTTTACAAGTAAGATTTCTCATTGCTTCTCTATTAATTTTATTATAAAATAAGTGGAATTTTGGAAGTGAAACATACCTGGTGGGGCCACCATTCTCTGCCATTTTTGAAATAAGCAAGTCTTCAAGCAGTCTCGAGGACTTAGATTGTAAGTTTTATGTCTTGACATCAGTTCCTGCATTGGCTCCAGTATAACACACAACTAGAAGAAAAAAACAGAGTAGAACAGTTTCATCCAAGCAAAGCCTCCATTGATCAGTATTTACATAGTTGGAAATTATTATTTTTTTTTTTTTTTACTCTTGCTAATGGAGCAATGCCTTATACAGTTCAGTTTAATCTGCACTTGGATTGCAAAATCAAAACTCTGAATTGGGAAAACTTTTTCTTGCTATTTGTTATCCTAGGTAATTATATCAGATAAACTTCATCTCTAGTCTTCCAGGCTACAGAGATTTCACAAGACTAGAAAATGTTCATGCTTCATTGCCAAAGCTGCAAAGATTTATAAATAATAAAATGCCCATAGTAGATTAGTATTCCCACAGCAAAATGTGTTCTTCTGACCTGCTGCACACCACAATGAGAACTTATAAATGATCTTGTATTTTGATATTGCATGCAAAATAATCTAGGTAATTTTGGGCTTTTTTTGTTGTATGAGGACTATACACTCTCTTCCTATCATATGAATGTACCGTACAAGAGAAAAAATAAGAGAAGCATTTTATTTGTCTTGTCTTCTTGAATGCTGAATATATAGGATAGAAATTTCTGAAAACATGTAATTTCAAACATCTTTTTTAAATAGAGTCTTATATATTTTCTACCTGTTCATTAATATTAATAATTAATATTGTTCACTGCTTTCTACTCCTGTTAACACAGCAGACCCAGCAGAATGAGCACTATGCTGCTTTCTATTCTCTCCTGTTTGTAACCACGGAATCATTTCCAGTCATTTAAACCTCACTCAAAGCACAGAAAGCTACAAAATTGCACACGTGTAACCGAGGGCTTACTCTTGTTTGCCAGAGCCTTGGTTTTCAGCCATCCTAAATGATGAGGGAAACTCCAGGTTGACCTGCAGGTGTTACCTGAAATTTGCAGGGCTGGCACATAGGAGGAAATGGTTCCTTCCTTGCAAACTGAGAACATATGATAAGGAAGTAGCTGGCACAGAATAAGCATGGAGCCTGCATGCCATTTTTAGTCAGTTTTCAAAGCAGAATTACATTTAGAAGCAGGTTTGTCTTTTTTTGCTATCAGAAGTAGGGCAACAAGTTGATCAAATGATTGGAAGTTAGAATGGCAACTGAAGAAAGGCATAACTTAAGTGAAATCTTGTTTGAATTATTTACTTAACAAAGTTTTGCTGAAGAAGTGTCCAGGACTTGCTTTAGCAGGAGATGTTTCCCCTTTGTTCTTTTACAAACATATAAGACAGGAGACAAATTCTTCTCTCTGGGCTGCAGAGCTAAGCAATGCTTGCTCCATCCTCCCTAAGTGTACCCGTCTCTCATTCATATAAACAGAGATGCAAAGTATGCAGGGAAAATAGTTGAAAGGGACCTGTCATGAGGACTGAGACTAATTCAGCATTTAAATATTACTGTGGATTGGCACTGCTGTTTGATGAGCCTTCCATTAACAGCAGTTAAAACAGAGATAACATAAAGCAGCAGGGAGAATGAAGTGCTTGAGTATGAGAAATTATTTTTTTCCAACTGCAGAAATTGAATCTGCAGTTGCCTCATTGGTGTTTTTCTTAGTTTTTACATATTTTTTGTAAAAAAAAATTTTGCAAGATAATCTAATAGATAGAAAGCTACTATCACATAGTGCAGTCTGGGCTTGGATTTTAATCTAGTTCAATATTCAGCAAAAATTAAGATCATATATATGCAGGATCCAGTTTATGCTGTGAAAAAGATGTTGTATTTTGAGTTGATATTCAATTTATTCTGAAATCTGCAGGTGCTTGCTCAGGTTTTTTTGTGTGTGTGTATGTGAGTGAGAAAAAAGATTTGTGATCATAATGGACATCATTGTTTTGACTCTCAAAATTCTGGGTTTCTGGCATAGCTGGCTAAATTTTCTTATTATGAGCTGACAGCAGCAAGCATGAAAAAGATACTTGTGATAATTCTGAACAAACTAGTTACCCTGGGCAAAGAACTAGACTCACACAGCTCTACTGCTGCTGGGACTAAAAAGACATAAATGTATATGTCGGTCCTTCCAACATTTCCTTAAGGACACTTTATTCATGATATACTTACTCTTCCCTAGATATTTATTATTGGCAACAAAGAGAATGTTTATTCTTTATCAGCTTGGCAAAGATGTTTGCTATTGTGCTCTAACCATAATGTGCACTGAGAACTAAGCTGTCCCCACTGCCTGTGGATATCTTGACTGCTAATCTTGTATATAATCTCTTTCCCTTCACACACAAGATTAAAATGGAATACAGAACCAATATGTAGAAATGCTTGACTGATCTCACTTGCATAGAGAAAAAAATATGGGCACTGAGGGCATGGAAAAGTCTCTGGGACATGGAAAACTCTCATGTTCTGGAAACCTGGGAGATGAACCCACTCACATTAATTCTTCTGGTTTTTGGGGAATTCATAACCATTTTCTTCCTCTAAAGACTGAAAATTGTAAGGTCAGCTTTGGATGCTTGAGTAATAGCAGGGCATTGAACTCTATAGTTTTAAATGTATCTAGCTCATGTGAATTTGGCATAAGGGTAAAATGAATGGGATTGAAAATTATTGATATCAAATCTCACAGTCTTTTTTGGTGACCTTTGAGACCTACTTGAAATCTAAAGTGACTCAAACCCAAATCCTTGAAAGAGGAAATGATTGTGCTCCAATTATCTTAAGTCCAAAGAACTTGCCAGTGACAACAACCTTGATTTTTTTCAAAAAAGACAGATTAAAAATGTGGGGACAAGATGCATTTAAAAGCTTGATTGGCCAAAACCACCTGCTGTCTTTAACCACCAGTGGGCAGGTAACTGGCTGACACTCTGGGTTGACAGAGTGAGTTCTTAAAACAAACCTAATGAAATGTTCTATACTCCTACATTCATTGCTGTATAGAAGCCTGAGGCTTAAACTGTCTATTCCCCACAGATCATCTAGTCTCCCACTGTGAGATTTCTTCAAAACATCAATTTTAATGTTTTTTTCAAGCACTGGATAATACCAAAATGTACAAGTTTTTACTATAGTACTATATTAATAATATTTGGAACACCAACAAAACCAATCTCTTCTACAAGGAGTTTCTTCACAGCTTGAAATCAGTCACCCAAGAAAATAGCCTAAAGACTTCAAGAATTTAGTGCGGTGACGTTGTATGATTACAGAAGTAATTTCTACATTCCTAGGACTACAGAAACTTTAATGGCAATACTTGACAAGAGAGATATTTCTGAGTTCCACACATAGGCAACATTAGAGTTGGGATCCATATGCCTGTGCATAGGTGTCCAGTGCCAGTTGAAATGCCCTAGATGATGCTGGATCTGATCCACCAGATCACTCTTGCTGTCCCAGAAGGATACAAAGCTCCTTGTGCATGTTTCAGGCAATAGAATGTGTCTTAATTGTGTGTGCAGTTGAACCAAGCCTAAAGTTCAAAGAAAAATGTTGTTTGTTCTAGCTTTTAAAACTTATTTGGAAAAATATGTATCATAATAGATTATGTACTTTCCAGTACTAAAACCCACTGAAATAACTCCACATTATGCTTAGTAACCCAATATTATTAGAATTAGTTTCTAGCTGTATTATCTGAGCTTGTTGTGATGATGTCTAACCATTACTCAGAGCTATTGCTGTTCCACTGTCAGAGCTGTGAGGTGTAGACAGCCCTAGGGGTGAACCCAGTGCTTCACACTGAGAGATCACTGGCATGAGCAGCCTGGATTTGTGGGGTCAGTACACACTGCGACCCATGCACACGGTTTAGTGCTAAATACACTGGTAGTGGTTTTCGTGGAGTTCCACATGGATCCTATGGACAATTCATCAATTAGAGGGCTTGGATCCAACTTGACGAAATGGTAATGCTATACCCTTGGGGCTCAGGGAAGTGAAAATTTGGAACATAAAAAGGAACGTTTAAAGATTTTTTTTTTTTTTTTTGTTAGTAAAACACATCAAGAATAATTTGATTTTTTTTAAATTATTTTTTTTTGAGGAGAAAACTAGTATTTATAGGTTTCAAAAGCCGTTGTTTTTCAAGAAGAGAGTTATATGAGGAGATAGTGGTGGCACTGCAGACCGAAGTTAAAGGGTTGTGAGAATATGGATCCACACATAATTTCCTGTAATACCTCAGTGATCAGCAGAGCCCAAACTGTCCTTCATCAGTAAGGGGTGCTATTCAGCTCTGAGATCAGTCCAGCCACACCAAGAATAGTTTCAGCCTTATAATTTTTGTTCTAATCCTGCGTTTTTATTCCATTCCGACAACAGATGCCCTTTCTGGAAGCAGTGAATATTAGCAAGAAACACCGACGTGAAAGCTCTCTTTTACGTTTTGCATGCCATGAGCTCATGGATTCTATTTCTGAGTCAGATTTCCCCGCCCGGGAAGCCGGGCGTGCCCCGGGGTTTTGGCTGGTGCGGAGGGCGGGACGCGCTGCCGGCGCTGAGCTGCAGGTGGCAGAGCCGCCCCAGCCAACAGGCTCCGCTGCCTCTGCCAGCCGCACCAAGGAGCGGCCCTGCGCTTCCGAATCCTTTTGCATTTTAAAGGGAAATCCGTGAGCCTCGAGCCTTCCCGGATTTAGCTGGTGACACTACATAATCACCCAGCCAGTTTCTTTAAATCAGGAAACATATCGGTGGCCGACAAGTCCCATGGTCTACCAAAACAAGCAAGTTTTAAGTATCTTCCTATGAGTGCCTATTTTGTCTGAATACATAAAAGTTTCACTAACTACAAAAAATGGAAATTGCTAAAATTTTTCATGTAGATGACTCTTAAAACTGCAAATGTATAATGTAACATCAGTTTTTCTGAATGAGCCGCAAGGAACCAGGCAGCAATGAGGGTGTTCCCTGAAGTTCTACTGAAATGTAGTTTTAACTCTTTGATGCTTGAAACTTCTCCGGGCCAAATGTCTGTATTAATCACTTGAAAATTATAGGAAAAGTTGCATATTCAGAGCACATGTTG